AGTCCCTGGCACCAACACATTGCTTGGATAAAAGAGTTATCGCATGCTTGTGTGGTGCCGTTTGGTTAGCTTACATACACTGACGTATCTTCTGTGCTCCAACTGATAACGCGCAATGGATGCCACAAATTCAACCATGGGAAGGTAGCGTCTCCGCTTTTCCCCAACCTTTTGTTGGTCTTGCTGGATGTTCTGCATATTTGACCATGGTCCACAGACCGGTGCCATAAGGATGACATCAGGTGCTTGTTCCCTGATGATCTCCATGACCATGTGTCGTCGTTTGGATGTCATTACATCGAATCCTGTACGGATGTCCACGGGAGTTCCAACCTTAAGACCTGATAGTGCACAGCATTGACTGAATCTGGCACTTCCTGCAAAGATCTCGAGAACGTGGATCTTTCCTTTACGTACACAATTCCAATGTGCTTGTTCAGGAATGGATGTGAGGTCCTCGACGAACATGTTCTCTGCTGGATGAGGTACTGCAGGTTTTGGAGTTGTTTTTCCCGCGATACATAATGGCACTGAGGATCTTGGCTTAGGAGCTGGTGCGGATGATTCCTTTTTCTTGGTATCTACAGAGGAGCCTGGTTGCTCCTTCTGCAAGAATTCTCGCTCTTCAGGTAACAGAAGGTCAATTCCGGGTTTCCCCGGAGGGATGGTCTCATCCTTCCTGAGCTTCGTCATGTTGACCTTGATGAGTCGAGTCCCAAGATCAAGTCCTACCATCGCTCCTTCAATGGATATGACCTTTCCTTTTAGCCATATTCCTCCCTTGCTTCCATCGGAACGAATCTTGGATTTGTCTTCCTGCCAGTAGAATACCTTGTCCTTCACCTGAAGAGGCTTTGAACTCATTCGGAGATTTTGAGCAAGGTCTCGTCGGATGTCCTCGGATTGACGTGCTTCTTGGAAAGCTTGCTTTGACAGCTGCTTGATCTGGATGGCTGTCAGCTCTTCTTCATTCCTGTCAATCGTCAACTGAGTTGGTGTTGCGACATCGAGTTGGATGAGATCTGCTGGTCGTCTTCCGAATGCGAGCTCCAATGGTGTTACTCCCCCGTAGGTGACGGTCTGATTCCTGACAGTTGCAGCTGCCTTCACTAGCTGCCTGTATGTCACTTTCTTCAGTGTTGCAGGTGCAGTTCCTGCCTTGATGGAACTTAGCATGATCTTGAGTTGTGCCTTCAGGAGTCGAACTGCTGCTTCAGCTCGATTTGGCCATGGTGTATTCGGTCCCAAGGATATCGGTGTGATGTCAAGGGACTGAAATGTTCCCATGTATCTGTCATGAAGGCTTGATCTGCGACAACTGATTTGGGCTGCAAGTGGTACTGGTCAAAATAGTTCCTGAGGACAGTGATGTTCGCTGTTCTCGACTTCTTGCGTAGTTGTCACTGCCTCTGCAGTGATCAATGTTGTTGCTCCATCCAGGATGACCAAAAAAATGATGTGTTCTCCGGTTCCAAGAGGAACTTGACAGTGATCATGTCACCAAAGGTGTCCGCTCGAAGTCCGCTTGTCTTGCTTCGTGATGGTGCATGTTTTGCCACTTGGCAAACTTCACACTCACTTCGGACCTTGTCAAATAGATCGAATGTTGATTTCGGCAAATGAAGTGCTCGGGTTCTGAATCGAAATTGATCTGTTGTCATGTGATGATGCTGCAGGTGGAGTTTCTTCAACTCTTCGGGATTTGACAATCGCTTGCGGATTCTGCCTAGGGCAAGCGGAAGCGATGTCGGTTCTTCTGAGGATGGTGCGAAAGGATCTGGCTCAATAGTCGACCGGCCCCTCTTGTCGATGATCCTGTCTGCTGCCGATCCTGAACCTGCTTCTTCGTCCTTAAGCGAATTGTCCGAGAAGGTGAAAATTGGTTTATTTGCCTGGGATGTAAGTCTCCAATTGTCTTCTAAAATGTCTGGATCTCCACCTACGGATGCATCAATGATTTCCGTGGTACGTTCCCGGCTAATGTGATCAGGACTGCTTGGACATTCCTTGGCTCCATTTGGTGTGACGGGGCGTGATGTGCACACGGATGAGCTGCTTGTTCTTCTTGTCAAGGATCCAATGGTCCTGCCTTTGAGACCCAATGATCTTAGGAGTTGCTAGGTCCTCCTTTGTCTCGGATGATTTTGCTGCACAAACAGTTTCGCTCTTGGAGAGATCCCCGGACGGAAACTTGATGCTGCTATCATCGTCATAGACATAGTTGGTGAGGCCCTTGTGAGCAATTTCTCCATGCGCCTCCACTCTTGCAACTCCAGCGAGATCGACGAGTGCATGTCCTGTACCGGATACTGGAACTGCTTGACGGTTCATGCCAAAGGCCTTGCGTGTGATCTTGTCACATTGAGGTGTGTGCTCGATGGTCATGTAGAGGTTCCGCATCTGGCTGATGCTGAGAAGGATCGGTACAGTTCCTTGTTCAAGGACGTCGATGTTGGTACTGCACGGAGGAGTTGTGTGATATCGAAGATGCAGGGTCCAATTTACCCTGGCGGTCTCTCCGTTTGCAAAAGTGAACTTGGTCTCGGCCGGGATGTACTCATAGGAGATGATGTCCTTCATTGGTTCGGTTGCCTGGGTAAAACGCTGGATTGCATGCCAGCTGCCCATAGATCTGGTACATCCATTGTCCAGAATCGCATAGGTCGGGTTGTGCTGAGGGTTGATGACAGGCGCCATCAGCTTTGTTGCCAGAAGGCTGTGATTTGTTGTTACGGACAGATTGTGTTCTGAAACTGTATCTGATTGGATCAGCTTCTCGTGGATGGCCTTTTTCCCAGGATGCTCATATGCATCATGGAATGCCATTAACGCTTGTCCTGTGCTGGATGTGTCATGGGATGAGTACCAGCCTTGTTCATTCCATGTCCATGATTGATCCCAATCTTGGTCTGTCCAACCGGCATAGGTAGGCTCTATGGATGGTGCAGTCTGCTGGATGGCGGGCTGCTCCTCCGTCTTTTCTGCAGTGGCTGCGAACGTCTTGGATTTTCCTTTCTCCTGTCCGCTCTTTCCTTTTCCACTCTCATAGGATGGATAACCTTTGTTTCCATCATAGGGATATTGGAATTTTGATTTTCCTTTCTTTCCCTTCTTTCCTTTGCCTTTTCCCCAGTATGCCTGGTCGTAGGGATCATAGTTTTCGTTGGCCATATTTCCTGTTCTCTTCTTGAACTTGAAGTTCCGCCCCCGACACTTTTCTTGCTATGAACGCATTGGTCTCCTCGAGGACCCAGAACGTCTCTTCATCGTTGTTTGACATGAATCCTTCAAGTCCTTCTTCATCCTCAACCCAGAAGCCTTCTTCTCCTTCGTATTCACCTTGTTCGATGATGACTGCCTCCTTGAGGTCGGATGGATGGATCTTGGATCGATGTCCTCGTGGTGATGAAGAGTTCATGGTAATGCGTCTTCAGCATCTCATAGGAATTGGCGGCTGCTTGGCGGTCATCGACAAATTTAGTGTTTCCTCCGTATAGCTCGGCTTGGCCATACTTGTATAGGCCTTCTCCATCTGATGACATCTTCCCTTGGATCTTTGCGGAAAACCCGCTCCGCTACCACGAGTTGAGGCCCACTGCCCCAGGCGCCTATCCCCGGAGGGAACTGGAACCCTGTGGTAGTTGAGGTCGTTGTTGGTCCCTGGATCTATTCCGGAGAGAGTCCAATATGCCAGTAATGGATGATTGGAGGATGGATTGTCCCTGGTGGATTGTCTTGTGGATAATCCTGCAAGCGGCCTGCAATGGCTCTTTTGTCTTCACGCTCGGATGGTCGTGATTCTGCAAAAGGGGCCCTTGAGCCAAATGTTGCTGAAAAACAGAACACAGGGGGTGGAGGTTGTGGGGTGGGGGGGGTGGTGGGGGGGTGGTGGAAGTGAGGGGTTGGGGTTGAGGTTGGTTGGGAATTTGAACGGATTTGGAGTCTGGAGTTGTGCTGGAGTTGGGGGCTTGGCGTCTGGTGCCGGGTGGTAGGAATGGTGCGATAGGTCTAGTCCGGGTGTTGGGAATGAACTGTTTATTCACTCTCCACAACAGCCAACAGCCAGGGCTTCAAATCCCCAAGCCCATCCACTCACTAGGGAATGACAACCAGCCCGGTGTCGGGAATCAACCGGTTCTCGGGGATTCTCGAATGAAGGAAGCCAGCAGTTGAATGGTTTGTCTCTGGTTCATTCCATTTCTCATTCCTTGCTAAGCACCTGCAATCTTGGCTTGCGGCTCCTGAAATAGTGAAAGCACCACTCTTGATGTGGGAATCTCTTGATCTATTTCAGTATTAACTCCGCAAGGAAAAACGATCTGAGAGTGTTGAAGCCATGAATGTCAAAGGACGGCTGGTGAAGTTGTTTGAGGGGAAAGCGCCATTTGGGTGTTTGCCTTCTTGAGTTGGTGCCCAGTCTCCCACCATGCGAAGAGGTAAGGCTTGTGGGCACGGGGGAGTCGCCATCAAGTCAAGTGGAAGTTGTTTCAGGGGAAACATTTGAACACTACCAGGAAATCCAATGGCTTGCAGGGTGAGTTCCCGACTTCAGACTTTGCGCTTGGAGATGGGTTTTTGAGATTTCATTTTTAACTATCGACGGTCAGGGCATCTCCTGCCCTATTGAGGCGCGAACCAGACCCATGGGATGCTTACCATCTCAGGAAAAACACCCTTACATCCTGCTGTGGATAAACAAACTGCTGCGCCAGCTGGGATGGTCTGCATAGTTTGTGGCGATACCTGGAATTACGCCAGCTCACCATGATGAAGGTCCTTTATTTGGACATCCAATTCCTATTTCAGGTTTTGGAACTGCCAAACTTGCGGTTTGGTGGTTTATCCTTCCCCAGAATCAGCTTCCCTTTTCGTTTTTTTTTTGTTGTTGTTTGGGGGGGGGGTCCCCTTTGTTTTCCACTGGCCAGGAAACAAGTGTTTCGTTTCTTGCTAGGGTCCGATTTCCGGCCAAGTATCAAGCCGTCAAAAGTTTCCTCCGATAGGCAAGACCTGGCACCTGCACTTCCTGGGCATCGCGGCCGCGATGCACCTCACCATGTCCCTCTGCTATCAGCTTGGACCTTTCTAACCTTTTCCTGGGGGGACCTCACATGTGTCTAAGCCTCGGGGCGGTCATGAATCTGGTTCTTCTTGTGGTTCCCCTCCCCCCCCCGAAAAGGGCATCACCCTATGATGTACAAACTGCATAGACCTTTGACCAGAGACGGACATTGCCCTCCAAGTACAGACACATATGGCTGTGGCTCAAAAAAGTGGTACCAAAATGGCACCTTGGTAAATGGAATCAAAGACTAAAACCCGCGTAACCCCAGCTCTTTGATTTTGAGCCATGCCCATATCTTTAACCATGTTTTATCAACGTGGTCATACAGATGGCAACCTTCAAGGGCCCTTCCTTCGAAGTGGTATGGTCAAAGAAGGCAAACTGGGTGTTTTTCCTGTTCGTTTCCCTTCAAACCGACCCAAAAAGGGTACCTGCCCTTGGACAGCATCCTGCACCAGCAGGTAGACGGTTTGTGTTATCCCAGCCTGGTGCGAGGGTTTTGTTGACAGTACCCTCAAAGAACAGCATGGAACCCCCCGAGCTCCTCTTTTCTTGGTGGCTCCCAGCCATCCCTATAGCTTTTTTCAGCTTTGTAGTATTTAGTGGTAGTTTCCATTTAACCCAGCTAAGCTTTTAGCAGGGGATCAGAAAACGGGCAGCCCGGTTTTTTTGGCGGCTTCCGTGTGAGGCTTTTTTTGGGGTAAGACCGCCCCCCCAGCCCAGACTTGTTGGGGACCGAGGTCCATCCTGTGCGGGCAGCTGGGTGGCTTCACCCAGGCCTGCTGGCTGGGTCTGATGGGTGCCTCTTCGGATGCGCGCTTTGAGAAGGCTGGAAGCTGGGGGGTTGGTTGGTCGTTGATGTATGCCTTGGCTTGGCCTTTTTGTTGTGAGGTGGGGGCAGGGGTTAGGGATTTGTTGGGGAGGGGTCCTGTTTTTCTTGGGGGGGGGGTTCGGTGGGGGGGGGGGAATTTGTGGCTTTTTGGAAGGGGAGGTCTTTTCGGTTTGGGGGGGAGGAGGTTGTTTTTGTTTCTTGAAGGGTTTGGATAGATCCCTACACCAGGTTTTAATGTCTCATTTGTTTCCCAAGGCACTCGCAGATTTAGTCATGATCTCACCCCCTGATCAAACAAGTTGGTATTTACAATGGGAAACCTGCGTTTTGACATACACCCTTGAAGCAGCGGGTTTCCTGAGTAGGGGGGTAAGACACATGCAACAATTAAAAGGTTGCATCTCAGGGATCAGGTTTTGATGTATCTTTTATTTCCCTATTTGGTCATCAATTGTCCCTATCAAGGGGTCCATGACCATCCCTACCAATACCTTTAGTTTCCCCAATAAAAAATCGGTCCACTACCATATCCCAAGGGGGCTAGGCCTACCTTCCCCATGTTTTCCAGGGGTCCGTCTTTCCCTGACTAAAAACAGAGGTATTTACTATGGGACCTGCTTGATTCTTCAAAGCATACCCTAAACGAGAAGAAAAGGTCAGGTATTTGGAGCATGTGGTTGGTATTCCTTTCCCTTGAAATGCCATTTTTTTGGGGTCGACATCCGTTGCTATGGAAATGCCTGATTTCGATCTCTCATTTGAAGGCCTCTCTGAGCTATCCTGAGAGTTGGAATGCTCTAAATCCTAGACGCGGCTTTTTTTTTGTATCTCAAACTACCAAAATGTGCGTCATGGCGTCATGGCCTTAACCCTTCCGGTTGTCCGAATTCTCTTAGAGTCCATGATCCCCAAAAGGTCCAACACCCATTGGCTTTTGGTATGGATTCCATCCATCCACAGAACAGGGGTGTCCCTTTTGCCTCTCGATTTTTTGGGGGGCTGATTTTTGCCCATCTGTTGTTTGATAGCCTTTAGGGGTCCATGACCATCCCAGACTTGGTGAAACCTCACAGGAAGCCGATTTCAAGAAATGGATCCTTATTCCGGGGGGGGGGAATAGCAAAAGCAAAAGAACATATTCTCGCTTTGGCGTCTCTGTATTGGTGTGTATTTTAAAGGGAACCCCAAGAGAGGGGATCCTTCAAAGAAAATTCCTAGGTTTTACCAAATGGATGGTAGGCCCCCAGGGACTGCATTCGTGGATTTGGCGAATGGCTGGAGCAACAGGCCCTCGCCGAGCCCAAGAACTTTGCCATCGTCTGCCTCGGCGGCATTGCTCTCTTCGCTGGGATGGGGGACGCCTTCGAGCTGTCCAACCCCCCCGTTTGAGGCTCGCTCGAGGCCCGCACACTCCTCTCTTCCCAACAAAGATGCTCCGCCCCAAAAAGGGGGGGGAATCCAATCAAACTCCGTAATACCACTAGTATAACATGGATGTTCAGCCAACTTAGTGGGTTCGAACTATGGATCAAACTGGACCTGGCAAGAGCCGGGAGTAGTCCGTTATAGCCTTTTGCAGAACCTAACGAAATCCGCGCTTGGAGCACCCTTCATAGGGTGCCGGACATCACACCGCCCCATGCGCAAGCGCCCTTTGTTTTCAAACTTCCCGTTGGATTCTTTGTAGGACTCGGGTGCGATTCGCGATAGTATTCTCGGGTGGTAGACATTTTAGGCGGGTTCTTGTAGACATTCTATGCCATTCGATGGTGATTCGTTTGTGCTATGGTGAACCTCGGTTGCTTTGGGTTAATGGTCATGGACCGTCCACTGGGATAGACGGTCCTGAGGGCTATTCAGGGAACGCTGGCCGTGTCTTGGACATTTTGACCATTGCATATTATTATGTGTGTCACAGATCTGGATCGAAAAGGGTAGCCTTCAAACCGCTCTTTGGAACAGCCAACAGACGGGTTGACGTCAGGGGACAGTCCTAAGCCCGTGGTTTTTACGATTTTGGGTAGACTCTAGACTCCAGTAGATTTTGACTCACCATAGCCAAGGAAGAGAGGAAGAGATTCTCAGGTGCCTGCTTCGGTGGAAAGGAATCAGGTACCCCATAATTGGGGATTTGGATTGGGGCTGGGATTTGAATGTGTGGTATGGGGTATGTCGGTATATCTTGATGTTTGCCCATAGAATGCTCCAAACTCCCAAGCTCCCAACCCAAACCGCCAGTTTCGAGGGAAGCTGAAGGACGCCGCTTGTTGAAAGACCCCGAGCTCAAAGAGGCCCGAAAGATGGGGCTTTCGATTGCAGAGGCGGAGCGAAACCATCCGCGTCAAGGCTCCAGCTTTTTTTCACGGTTCTAAGAGACTTCGTCTGAGTTGTTTTGAAGGGAAAACGAAGGGAAGCGCAAATCCCCTGGGCATCTCCCTGCTTTGAGCCGTATTCGCATGTTCCCGTCGCATTTCCTTTGGGTTAACCCGGAGGCACTCCGAAAACCAGAGTCTCGTTTTGGGGGACCCGCTTGCTGGGTTCCATCTTCATTTGCGGGTATGCAACCATAGCATTCGAGCAGCATATTGTCGGGCTCTCACGAGGGCGCCCTGCGTTCCGTTTGATTCTCCTTGAAGCCCCAAAGAACAAAACGGGTGCAGGGTACCAACTCCAAGAGGCACGCTCGAAGTACAGGAACCCTTTTAACCACCACAGACACACACAGAGACAGAGACACAAACACACACACACAGACACAGACAAGACACGTACTGACACACACACACAGATCCACACAAACACACAATGACACGACCACACAGCCACCGAAACACACACACACAAACACGAAGATACACAAACGCACACACACACACAAAGACCAACATACAAACACGCAAATGCACACACACACACAGAAACAAACACACAAGCACACACGCAACAACCACACCAACACACAAACACACAAACACAAAAGAAACCCACAAACACTAACGCAAACACACAAATACACAAACACACAACAACCCAAACACCTAAACAAACAAACACACAAGCGCACAAGCACACAAGCACACAAACACACAAACACACAAACACACACACACAAACACGCAAACACAAACACACAAACATACAATCAACCACACAAGCACACAAACACACAAACCCACACACACACACACCCAAATACGCACAAACACAAACACGCAAACACACACCCACACCCACACAGAAATACAAACACACGAAAACACAGCAAGACAACAGCACCAACACACACACAAGCACACACGCAAGTACAAACAAACCCCAAAAAACTAGCACCCAAGCACACAAAAACAGGGACACAAACAAGGACACAAACAAGGACACAAACAAGGAAGCGCATACACAAACAAAGACACATAGACACAAACACAGACACCGACACAGACACAAACGCTGGCACAGACACGCACACGCACACGCCAATGCGCACGCCGCAGGTGCATGCGCACACCCGCACAACCGCACACACGCACACGCGCACGCGCACACGCGCACTCGCGCCAGCGCCCAAACACCCACACACAAAAACGCAATCACGCAATCACACAATCAGAAGCGCGCAAAGAATCGCAAAGGCAAACAGAAACGCGCACGCACAAACAAACAGACGCAGACTGAGACACAGACTGCGACACAGATACAGACACACACACACAAACACACACGCACACAGACGCACACACACACAACACTCAAACACACACGCAAACACAAACACAAACACAAACACAAGCACAAACACAATCACAAACACAAACACAAGCACACATTTTACACACACACACACAAACACAAACACACAAACACACGAGCACACAAACACACAACCACACAAACACGCAAACACACAACACACAAGCACACAAACACACAACCACGCAAGCACACAAACACACAAACACACAAACACACAAACACACAAACACACAAACACACACACACACAAGCACATACACGCACAAACACACAAACACACAAACACACAAACACACAAACACACAAACACACAAACACACAAACACACAAACACACAAACACACAAACACACAAACACACAAACACACAAACACACAAACACACAAACACACAAACACACAAACACACAAACACACAAGCACACAAACACACAAACACAAACACACAGACACACAAGCACGCAACCACACAAACACACAAACACACGCGCACACACACACACACACAAACACGCAAACACACAAACACACAAACACACAAACAAACAAACAAACAAACAAACAAACAAACAAACAAACAAACAAACAAACAAACAAACAAACACATAAACCCACAAACACACAAGCACACAAGCACAATCATACAAACACAAACACGCACACACACGCACACACACACACACACACCCACCCACCCACACACACAACACACCCACACACACCCACAAACGCGCGCGCACGCACGCACGCACGCAGGCACACACACACACACACACGCACACGCACGCACACACACACACACACCCACACGCACACGCACACGCGCACGCACACGCACACGCCCACGCGCACGCCCACGCGCACGCCCACGCACACGCACACGCACACGCACACGCACACGCGCACGCACACGCACACGCACGCACACGCGCACACGCACGCGCACGCGCGCCCGCACCCGCACCCGCACCCGCACACGCACACGCACACGCGCACGCACACGCACACGCGCGCACGCACACACGCACACACGCGCACACGCGCACACGCGCACACGCGCACACGCACACACGCACACACGCACACACCCACCCACGCACACACCCACCCACGCACGCACGCACGCACGCACGCACGCACGCACCCACACACACACACACCCACCCACCCACCCACCCACCCACCCACCCGCGCGCACACGCACGCACGCACGCACGCACGCACGCAGGCACGCACGCACGCACGCACGCACGCACGCACGCACGCCCGCACGCACGTACGCACGCACACACGCACACACGCACACCCACGCACGCACACACCCACACGCGCAGAACAGCGCACGCGCACGCGCGCACGTGCATGCGCACGCGCGCACGTGCACGCGCACACGCACACGTGCATGCGCACAGGCACACGCACACGCACACGCACACGCACACGCACACATACACACACACCAGCACATTACAGCACAGCACAGCACAGCACAGCACAGCACAGCACAGACACACACACACACACAAAACACACGAACAGAGACACACACACACACACAAACACAGACACAGACACGCGCGCATGTACATGCACATGTGCACGTCCGCGCGCGCACACGCACACGCGCTCGCGCACGCACACGCGCTCGCGCACGCGCACGCGCAGAGGCACACACACACAGAGACACAGACATGCAGACACACACACACACACAGACACGCACAGACACGCACAGACACAGACATGGACACAGACAGACACGGACACAGAGACAGACAGACACACGCACACAGACGCAACGACTGACACACCCGAACTGGCCAATTCTGCTGCTTCGCGACGAAACCGCGTTTGGCCCAAGCTGCGATGGCTTTGCAAGCGACCAGATGCCACTCGTAGCAGGGCGAGCCGTGGGTATGTGTCAAAATACAGGAACGCCCAAGCCAGCGGTTTTCTTTTGGTTCCCTTTGAAAGGCAAGCCAAGAATGGTTCCCCCTGAAAAGGACACCATCTGATCGAAGCTGACGATGTGATGTGGGTTTCGTTCTCGTTCCCATCCAAGCGAGGCAAGCCCGGATTTTGGGAAGGTTTTTGATACAGTTTGCCAGACAAAAGGACCCTGCTCCTTTCTATTGCTTTTCGTGCTGGCTTTTGCTTGTTAGGATCCCTTTGGAAACTATGCGGCAATTTCAGGTTTACTATGGGGCAGAACGGAATCAAAGATATAGGTTTTGGTTGGGCTAAAAGCCAAAAGCTGAAGTAGATGAGACAATCTTCCATCTGGCGTGTCTTACCGAGGGTCGACCCCCCATCGATGAGGGGGCACACCTGTTAAGCTTGATGCTGAATAGCACCGTATTTTTCTCTATTTTAACAGGAAACTAACAGGGGACGGATAACTTGAGGATTTGTCCAGTTTTGCCAGACTCATTTAGTCCCCAGAGAACAAGCGCCGGCTCTGGGGCAGCCGAGGTTTTGGTGCTGCCGCCATGCCGACGACGTGAAAGCTGCAGCGCCCCGAGATTCGAGCAATTGAATTGTAGCGGACCCCAGATAATTAGTGGGGTATTTAGATCATCGTGAACCTATTCTTCAGGGGAACCCCCATTGAAAATTGGGTGCCTAAACAGCGGTTCTTTCTTTTCCTCTTGGTTTCCCTTAAGCTACCAAACACAGGCTCCATCGGTTTGGTGGAGCCCCCATTTCTGAAGATCTTCAGCGCATCGCTCGCTGAGGAAGTGATTACGGCTTCGGACGCTCAACAGCATCTGGCTCTGCTCAGCAGCTTGAAGTCAGCTTCCAAGGGTTTACTTCTTTGCGAGTGTTCTCTTTCAGCAAAACAAATGTTGTGTGGGGCTTCCCCGATTGGAAAAAAGGGTTTGCCGCAGGGGAAGCTTCAGCTCGGTGAGCAGGAGGTATATCAGGTCCAGGCCTTGGCTTCTTCTGCCGCCCAAAAGAAAGTTTACAGGGGTGTCCAGAGGTTCAGCTAAGACCTGTGCAATGTCAACTTGGAAGTCCTGAGACCAAGCTGTATGGACTCTCGGGGCAAATGCCTGGTTGGCAGCAAGTGTGGCTCAAACGTCGTCGGGGACCCCAACCTAGTTTTTCCACACATATTTGACATACCCTCAAACTCGTGGGTGGGAGTTGGCGGTTCAGCACCGACTTGCATGCCGAGAAGCCGGACCCAAGCGAACAAGATGCGCCGTCTCCCAGTGAGGCGCGGCGACTGTGCTGGGAAGCGGGCCAAAGACCCCGTGGCCTCCCACTGGCCAGCTTTTTAGTTGGCATGTCAATGTGATGATCGAAAGAGGAAGCGCTTATGGAAAACAGCGGGGATTTGGAGTAGGGGTTGGTTTCCATTTGCTGTAACAGAGATGGGAGTCCTGTTGACCATTTTAGTAGCCGGTTCCTCTGCCTGTGCCTCGAACCTTCAACCCCGTTTTAGTAGAACCGGCAAGGCAATGAGTGTTTTGGCGCTGCTCGCGATTGGTCGCTTTTTGCTTGAGGGGCCCTGCTTTTCGATAGACACAACAGTGACTGTAGCCAGAACATTTTGAGAGGTAGCCAGACGGGGACTTGTGGGAGCTCAAGCGGACCTCAATTGCCTTGGTGTGGAGGGGAACTAAATCCAGCACTTGGGATGCACAACTGGCTCAACCGCCGGGTGCTTGGCGTGCGTTGCCGTCCGCAGGTTTGGGCGACCAGCATCTTCGACGAGGCGCGCGGCGCGCTGGTTCCAGATTCATAGGGAGGTGCGTGCCCAGCGATGCCTCAGGGATGACTCTGTCCTTTTTAGGTTGGGCCTTGGTTTAGAGATGTTGACGTACAACTTTTGTTCAAGTCAACTCCATGGTTGTCCCTTTGCAGGGACCTGGTTGTCCATGCCTTGGAGCAACTTGTGGAAAGAGAAGCGATCGCTTGTTGGTCTGGCATGTCGGTCGCTCCGCTGCCCGTGAAACCCAAACAACCACACACACACACACATACCAACACCCCCTGTTCTCGGTTTTCCACACGCTTGACCTTCATGCAGTCATATGTGTCACGTTGCCATTTGGCTCAAGGCCCTTCATGTCACAAGCCTAGCCAGGCATCTCCACCGTGCATGCCACGATGGTTCTGTCATTGCCAAAGAGCCTTCCAAGCATGCCTTCAAGTCCATCCCAGCTGGCCCCACGGTCATCATCGTGCCAGCCACACCCGAGAGAAATTTCATATCTTCAGATAACAGGTCTCACGGATCAGACACTCTCCACCAAGAATTTTCTTCTCTGACAATCTGAGAAGAGGCCTCCGGGAACAGAGCTGTTCCTCGAGACCTCTTGTCTGTTGGAGTTGACGGCAAGAGGAGAAGAAGTTGTCTCCAAGACATCATGAGGCACATACACAAAGAATGCCCCCGCGTTCCGGCTAGCGCGCGCCTCTCATGGTCTATGTCAAGGCCAGTGCCAGCATTGGCGCTGAATTCGCCAATAAAGATGTCGCGCGACCTCCTCAATGGATGCTTTTTGCACTGCGTCAACAAGGACTGAAGCGTTCGAAACCAAGGAAGTCGCAGCGATATGACCGACCGACCGACCTATCGGCTTACCTCAATGTTTCCATTGTTTTCAGCGTCTACAAGACTATGCCTCTTGCGATACGTCTTCGTCGTGGACCCCGTCTACAGAGAGTATCCGCTTGGAGGTGACTGGGTCAATGTTTCTCACGGCCAAGGTCGTACAGAGTCCTTCATGTGCATTTTGGTCATAGCACAGCTGGGTGTCAATTCAATCCATGCCGACTTGTAATGACCCACGCGTAGATCCGAGTCAAAACGCATCTGAGTTCGAGCTGCAAGGACCACGTTTCTTAATCAATCCAATGGCTACGGCTACGGCGCGCAATTCGATGCTGAAGGTCAAACGAAATTTGCAAGTGCTTTGACCCTTTGGGCATGCCTTCTTATTTGGCCGTCCTACCCAACGGCAGGGCGCCACCCAACAGACGGGCGCACCGGGTCACAACACAAGCCCCCGGTTACACATGACTAAGCGCCAATTGTTGAAACAACCCGCCGGGTTCTTCCCACGACCCGTTGGGCCAAGGAGGAAGACCTCAGCTCCAAGAGCTTCGAGATCGAGGCGGGCGGCTTTGTTTCAGAGGCGACGTCGGCGGATCGGCGGATCTGACGTTGGTGGATCAACCTTGTCCGGCCCTTTGGAAGTGCCACAACTGAGCCACAATCAAAACCCGGGTAGATGAAGGTTAGTAAGGGATAATCCCAACCATAAATAGCCGCTGCCGCCTTCTAAATTCTTTACATGGTTCTGGGTACATTTTAATACCAGGTTTTGATTGTGACTCAACTGATTCTTTGTAGGGGTTTGCGAACAACATCCAACCGAGCGTCTCCTCCAGAACGATTTGATGTACCAAGTATGGACCAGAATCTGCAAATGTGATTTGTTGCATGCCCCGGGCCCCAGACTTGGGCCAAGGTGCTCAATTGCTCCGCTTTTGCAGCTCCAACAGTGGCGGTCGTTTTCCCACCCCGGTGACGCCTGAGGGCGCGCGTGCCAGCCCAGTGATCTGGATGCCCTCTCAAGCGGGGTTGTGAGCGGATCACGATATCTACCAGGGTTCGTTCATTGTATTTATTCTCTCACTCGGAATTTGAGAAAATTTGCCCGGACATCACGACTTGCAGTTCCAGGCTGATTGGGCTGGAGTGATTTGATCCTTCGGTGGTGTTGCCATGTTTTGTTTCGCTTAGAGTGAACATGCTGAGTTCTTAGGATTACTTCCTTGTGGTTTACAGTTTTCCTGTAACCCACGAAGAAGGTAGCTTTGAGGATGTCACCTTGGACGTTGCTTTCTCGGGGTGGCTCGCGGCGTGATCACGCACTGGAAGGCTTCGTCTGGCTAGCGGCTAGCGCCAGCCAGCTGTGCCGTGGTCACAACACCAGTTCCAGTACCTGTGCTCACGTGCTCTTTTGTTTGTTCGGCTCAAACAGGGTTACATTGCAGGTGATAACAGAGCAAACCAGGCAGGACACATGCGCATATATGTACATATCTGTCGCATATGTATATACACACGCAAAAGTTTGCACATGTATAGCATATGTAAATACAATATGTATATTGCATAGATACGTGCATAGGTGCAGCGTCCCTGCACTGTTCAACTGTTTCCTGTGAATTCACCAGCCCGAGCCATGCTGAGAGCAGGCCTCTTCCTCCTGCGCGGGCCTTTGCAAAAGCTTGTGGTTGATTCCAAGATGGTCGCCACTACCCGGCTGTAGCCGATAACTCCGAGATTTCCTTTCCGCAAAGTTATGCCGGATGGTACCATCGGTGCCGTGGCTTGTTGGCAACCACTCCAGTTCGGGCGGTACCTGCGACTTGAGATGCAAGTGAGACAGCATGGTTGTTGTTGGGAAAATTTTAAATTTTGGCTTATTGTGGTTTAGCGGGAAAATCCCCACTTAACTGCTAAAATATGATTTTTTGCTCCCCTTCCAACGTCAACCAAGACAGTGGGATTGTGCGGAAAACTGGTGAAACAGTATTTTTTTGGCAGATCGCAGTTCTCTTGCCTTACAGCGCAACCAGCTCGCTGAGACCCATATGGCTGTGGGTCAAAACCAATGGGATCCCATTTTGGTTGGTAGGTGAATTCACCACCCATTTTAGAACCTATTTTAGTGGTTGGATTGGGATGTTCACTGGGGGTACGATTTGGCTTTTGACCCATGGCCATATTTGTCGTCAAAGTGCGACTGAGGTCGGTGTCATGCACCGCCATGGAGGCCGAAGAGCATGTCTTGTCTGCATGTTTTTATCCCTCCCATACGTCCCTTGGCAGCTTGCATGCAGCTCAGGTCTCCCTCTAACGTTGACCCAGGATCTAAGTAGAACCCGCCCCACTATTAGGGGGGTTTCCCTCCAAAAGTGGTCTGAATCCCCACTACGGGGACACCCCCCTATTAATCAACCAGGGTTTCATGAATCCGGGATCAACATTATGACTGGGTGATCTAGCTAGAAACTGTGGGCCTTTCTACCCAGATTAAAGAGTGGAAAAAGAAAACCTGGTTCTTCAAAGTATGAGCAGGGGTGTAAGGACTTCTGCCTTGGCTTTGGCCTGTCAGGTTTCCGTAGATGCTGGCGGAAGTGTCAGGCCGGATCTGAGAGGGTTTGCACTCCCCGCAAAACCGGCTGAATGGGATATGCGCTGCCACTGAATTGCCACTATTTGATGCCGAGGCACAACGCCTGCCTTTTTGGACGGCACTCTTGGGGCATAGACGAAAAGCAGCTGTACTGTGGATGGACAAAATCCACTTCGCACCGGCTGGTCTGTTGATGTAATTAGCGGGGTGACAGCCACAGGTGCGAAGTTGGTTTCCATCCACAGGATGCCTCCTCAAAGTGATACAGTCATGCGAAGTACCCATATTTCGGATGCTCCCCAAGCGCAGACATCGAACGTCTCCTGTTGAGTGCGTTCGAACACATGGTTAGCCCCAAAATGCGTCATTTCCTCCAGCACCCCGGGTGGCTTGTTTTTTGGTACCCAAAATGGCTCACACAAGAGCAGTGCAGGTACAAATGGACCATTCTTGGAGGGTGCGATTTCCTTTCCCTCCAGATGCGAAAGAACACCATGATTGTCCTGCGCACCCGTCTCGTCCTTTCGGATCTGAAGACCTTGGCAAGGATCATTGACCCGATGTAGATGATGCAACTCCTTGGGCAAAGAATGGTGGTTCCCCCCTCGTCCATCCCGCAACTCCCCAGGGGATCCCTTTTAGAGGAACGAAAGTCTTCCGCAACTTCCGAGTCAGGTTCCATGTTGGTGGACGGGTGGACTCCAACCATTCTTTCCAACCATCGTTCTTTTCGAACACCGGCCGTTTCCCTGGGTTTCCGGAGGTTTTCTAGAAAGAAGGATCCCTGGAAAGAATGGAAATGGAAGGTCGCACTCGAATTTTTTCGGGTCCAGCGTTTTGCGCCAGAAGCTCTAGAACGAAGGTACCCGGAGGTTTTCTAGAACGAATGCACTAGATCCTTGGGCAAGCCGTTGTTTTTTCTTCTTTTTTTCGCGGTTTCTCCGTGAAGACATCAAGTCCAAGCCGCCGGGTGGCAGAGTTGTCGAAGCCGAAGCCGTCATTCACGTGAGGCACGTGAGGCACCGGCCCGCCCTGGTGCGAAGCCAGGCAGCACTCAGATGTGCCGTTCGCCGTAGCGCAGAGCCCGAAACCCCCAAAAGGGCCATGGTAGTAGGTGGTTCTACTTGATGGTTTCAGAAAAAGGTGATTTGATAGTATGCCCTTCCTGGTTCATAGGGATTGATGTGAGGGTAAGCCCGAGATCAACCTTTGCAAGCGCGTTGACGGCACCAAAAAACCAGTACACTGTTTTTTCGGCGCCGCTCACTTGTTTGGGGTGATTTGTCCGCCTCCTCCAACCAACAAATAGGAGGTACTTACCATAACCAAAACCAAGATCCTTCAAACATGCCCTACAAAAGGTGAGTGTTTGGAGTACCTCTGACTTTTGGATGTTTGGGTTTGGAGGGATTATCAATATACCCCACTGCTTTTAGCAAGGGAGTAACGGACCACTATGTTTGGAAGTGGGGGGGTTTTCCCGCTGAACCTTCAAACAGATGCATTTGAAAGCAGCAGTTGGAGGCATGTGGGATCAAAGAAAAGCCTCTACAAATGCTTGCTCACACATGTCGTTGGTCCCCCGAATCTGTTATGTGTTTTGGGTGTGAGATTGAGCTGTGGACTCTTCGGCGGCCTTCGTTTACCATGCGTTTGTCCACCATTTTGAAGGGTGCCCCATTAAAATCAGAGTCCTAGCTCTGGTGGTGTTGCTCTTGAATGGCCTGGGATTGCAATCCCAGAAGGAGAGGTGTCCCTTTGGTTTCCCTTCAATTTCTCTTGAAGCAACCTCCAAAAAGACTCAAGGGCACACCCATATTGCTTGTGTGGGGCTGCCGTGGTGTCACTGCTGGACCCAAGCTGCGCGGATTCCCGAGGAAAAGAAGCCGGAAACGCCTCCCGGCTCGAGTGGCTGGCCTGCAATCAGTTGAGACTCTGCGCAAATCTGTTGTCTTTCAGGATGGGTCTATGCGGGTTTTTCTTTGAGGGTGCCTGTTTTTCTGTTGTTTTTTGCTGGCTTGGAATGGAGTGTAAAATGGAACCACCCGTTTCAGGGTTTCTCATTTTCAGACACAAGCTAAGGACTTCCCGGAGAGTGGGAGCAGGTTTGTCATCCCGGAGTTTCCTGGGATTGCCAACTCAAGGATGCTGAACCAGCAGGATTCCCCTACCATGATCCATATAGGTGCCGTGGAGGGAAGAATGACATGCAACCTTTGCCGAATAGCCGATGGGGCATGATGGGGCTACTCATGGACAATAGCCTTGATTGCTAGATTCCAGTCATGCGTAGGCTAGGTTCATCTTCAAAAGACACACGCCACATAGTAAAGTGGGGTGGTTATCCAACAGGGCCATAGGGGCACCATGGCCACCGTGATCATTGATCATTGCGCGGATACGCTTTGAGTCATCGTGGTCGGCATTGTTGATCCGGTTCCTGTTGCGACCCATGTCGAGGGGTCGCTCGCCCATTTTCAGACAGGCTTATCTTGAAAGGCAATGACTACATGCTTCTGGGGTACGTCCCCCCAGAGGGTGACACCAGGATACATGGTTCGGGCAATCCCCATGCTTTATCTAAGGAGTACATTTCCCATGCTTTTCTTTGGTTCACATAAGGAGCAGGTGTGCCCCTGATGAGGGCCGCGCGATTTGGTGCACTTGAGCCACAATCGAATCCAGACAAACGGAGGGTAGGGGAGAGTCCCAACCATTATTGCTTACCTACGGAATCATTGCGCTTAACATCTCAACATCTGACTCTGTGTCAAAATAGAGGTTTTGTATTGCATTTTTCATTTTTTTATCCCGGAACTGTTTTCCTTCTGCTGTCCCTTCAACGCCAGCCAACACAGCTACACACTTTTCCCCAAAATCGTGCACGGAGTGGGGGGGAGGGGGGACTGACGCCCTTAAAGCCAGCCAACACAAGTACCCACCCGCACACACACACGCCTCCAAAAGAGGCGCACGGAGAAAAGGGGGGGTGGGGCCTGAGGCACGCTGAGGCCCGTGGGGAGGGAGCGCCTGAGGCATTATGACTTGCTGGTGATCATCCCGGCGAAGCTCACCCGGGACCGGCGGCGGCTGCAGGCGGTTCGGGACACCTGGGCCCGGGACATCGACGAGAGCCACCGCTGCGCCAGGCGGATGGCGGGCGCCGAGCGACCGATTTCTCGGGGATGGCAGCTGGGTTTTTTTGAGCCGAGGGCTTCCTTTTTTCTTTTCTTTTTTCTCGGAAAGGGTTGGGTTTAAGGGAAGAAGCCAGGGGGGGAAAGCAATACATTTTAGGGGCTCGTCATAATGGGACCATCCCTGGTTGTCCCACTTCTATCCAGATGTGATGGTTAGAACCTACGTTGGTAGAATATGCAAGAAGGGGTTTGCAGCATTCTGGTCCAAAGGGAGCAAGGTGCGCATCGTGAAAGGACGGTTACCCTGTGCAGAGACAAGCCCGTGGCTTTTCAAAGAAAGGGGGACATCCACAAAACAGGCTCCCCAGCTGTTTTATTCTTGGTTCCACAAACCCGGTTAAGACGGGGTCTGATAAAAAGGTCCAGATCGCTTGCACAGGACACCTCCCTCAGCCGATCTTGTGGTGCCCCTTACACTGCGGCTTCCAATGGACCTATGACCTCTCCATTGGACATGCTCCAAGTTTTTTTGTCTCAAAGCCTGTGCCCTAGATACATGGGTAGGGGTCAAAATTGAACCACTAGGGCACCGCATGTTCTAGTGCTTGGTTCCATTTACCAGCACCCCATTTGGAATACCTATTTTTGACTCGCAGCCACATCAGAGCGTCTCCTCGCGGCTCGTTTCTTTTTTTTTTTCTCCATGAGACATGATCCACGTTTTTGAGGGGGTTCAAAACCTGCGCCCAGAAGTAAATCAGAGCGTCTCTTCGTGGCTCGTTTGCCCAAAGAAGGCGGGGAAACTCGTGGGACAAAATGGCAGGTGCGGGAGCAATCGCACCGTGAAGTACCTCTTCGTGCTTGGCGAAGAGGCCTCCGAGGCGGAGAGTCAAGTTCCATGTGGAGCCGGGGGGGGGGGGGAGGAGTCGTTGAGAGCAGCCCCCATAAGTGGCAGTGGGTCAAAACCAATGCCCATGTTGGGGTAGGTGCACCACCCATTCTAGTCTATTTTAGTGAGGATTGGGATGTTCACTGGGGGTACGGCATTTTGACCCATGGCCAAATGGCAAAGACTCCAAGGCGAAGCTTTTAAGCTTTGGTGTATGGTCCAGCAAGAGTTCTTTTTGACCCGTTTTGTCAGCAACTGACCCACTTCCTGGTAGTCTTGTTAATTTGGGGATGAGACGGGGCGTCCTCGTTTCGCGCAAAACGCGCTTTCCAAGTTCCGCAACATAAACGGGGGGGGGGAGGGGAGGGTCAATTTTCACAGTTCCCCTAAGGGAAAAGCCATGGTTCTTTGACCCTGTTTACGCGAATTGTTGGGTTGAACAATAGGCACAACTTGGCAATCGCAATGGTTGTACTCGCAGTACAAACGTTCTTGCCAGCACCCAGACCCCCCCCCCCCCCCCCCCGAACGACGGCACTTTGGAGAACACTTGTTTTGGAAATGGGTTAAGGGGACGTCGGAGGGTTTATGCGTAAATATCATCCTCTGGATGGTTTCTATACGTAAGTTTTTTTCCTGACACATTCTTCAATCCTTTAAGAACATTTTCCAGGACAGGAACCAGGAGAGAAGGAACCTGCATGGACCGCGCATTGGAAAGCTTTGGGCTATCTCTTCGGTTCTCTTTGGTTTTCCTCTATTTTCCCTTGGCTTCCTCTTGGTTTCCGTTGTTTTTTTTGGTTTCCCTTCAAGGCATCCCAAAACAGGCGCAAATTCTTCAAGTCCTCATGCTGATGTGGGCAGTCCTTCTCCCACAGATCCATGCGCTCGGGATCGCGAAAACCAGCCAACGGGCCCAACAGGTTGATCTTTATTGGCTTCAAAGAAAGTGGAGTTTAACCAAAGCCGAAGGGAAACCAAAGGAAACCAAGGGGAAACCAAGGGGAAACCAAGGGGAAACCAAGGGGAAACCAAAGGAAACTAATGGGGAAACCAAAGTTTCACTTTCAAAAAGGAAACCAACGGGAACAAACCCAGCCGTAGGGGTGCCTCACAGGGCCTCGGCCTGAGTCCCGAGTCCCCTTCACCCGCAGCCTAAACGCCCGAAACGCAACCGACACTTAAACCCTCGAATCCCCAACCCAAGCAATCAAGGCCCCAAAACCGAAAAAAGAAGCTGAAGACCCAGGCTAAAAAGCGGAAAAACACTTTATTGTGGGCAGAAACAAGACTAGGTCCCCCAGTAGTGCCCTGAAAACCCTTTTTTGGGGGAGGGTTCCCCTACCAAAATAGACTACAGAAAAAAGGGTGCCCTGATGTTGAGCTCTTTACTGGAGGACCTCCTTTTCGGCTGCTCCGATTCACAAAGCTGGACGGTTGCTGCGTTTATTCTTTGCGAGCCACGACCAACCGAATGGTCAGAGCAATGACCAGCCGAGGATTTGTTTTCCTTGCCCGAAGCAAGGACACTTCACAGGCAACTCAGAACTTGGTGGCTCCCAGCCGTCCCCTTAGCATTTTAGCCTTTTAGTGTTTAGAGGTAGTTTCCATTTTAGCGGGGCATCTGAGGGCAGCCCAGAGAAGGCTTGGTGCCCGTTTGATGCTTAGGGCCTTTTGCCAGCCATGCCCTCAAAGGGGCGATTTCGTCGCCAGGCAGATGCCCCGCCGGATGCCGTGGTCTTGCCCAGGCCGGGCAAAAGGCGGAGAAAAACATGAACCAAAGGGAGGGCTTGCTCCCGCCCTTCACAACTTGGCCACGTACCTTTGGACAATAACTGACCACCTTGTAGGAAGTCAGCATGCGCTATGGCCTTCCTTCAGAGCTCCGTCCCATTCTTGTACCCATCGGGTGAAGTGGTTTTGTAGCCTTGAGCCAAAGCATCTTACAGCATTCCCGGAAAACCACGTCACGCCTCTCAGGGCTCATTATTTTGACTGTTTCAGGGGGTTATCAAAGTCAGAAAATGGGCCTGTTTCCCTTTCTTGGTTTGGTAGAACCCGTTCCAATCTCTGTCCGAGCTGAATCGCCCAACTGGTCGGAAGCTTCGGGCGATGGCCCACGGCGGCGAGGGCGGCGCAAAAAACTCCTTGGGCGAATCTGGCGGTTTCTTGGAGCTCGTTGCCTTTGGAATGATGTTACAACATATTTCTATAAAGATCTGCAAGGAGCAGTATATGTCCAGGAAAACAACTTGTTTCATTGTTATTTGTCTTAGGAATGCTATTTGAAATTTGTTGAACAACCTCCAATGGGGCGAACATCATCTTTTCTTCTTCTAGAACCACCACCTTCACCACCACCACCGGCATCATCATCATCATCCTCCTCCTCCTCGTCATCACCATCATCATCATCCTCATCGTCATCCTCATGCTCCTCCTCATTATCCTCATCATCATCCTCATCATCATCCTCATCATCATGCTCATCATCATCATCGTCGTCATCATCATCGTCTCATCCTGATCCTCCTCCTCCTCCTCCTCATCACCATCATCACCATCATCACCATCATCACCATCATCATCATCATCATCATCATCATCATCATCATCATCATCATCATCATCATCATCATCATCATCATCATCATCATCATCATCATATGACAAGTGTCTCATTTCTTCAAATCATGCCCTGAACAAGTGGGTAGTTGGAAAAAAATGGGGACCTCTCCAGATTGGTTTCCGTTCTGCAGTTCAAGATTTCCTCCAATGACATTGACCCTTCCATTCACTATCATGGAGCCTGGCTGGTGACCATTTCCTGTAGAAGGGACCCTCTGGTGGGCTCTATGTTAGACGGGAGGATGCCTGTCTCTGTGGTGCTCAGCAGGGAATGAGGGAATGACCCTCATAAACCTTTTTTTGTGGCTTCCTTTAAGGGAATCCCCGGGTTCATTCCTTTGTTGCCCAGTGGCGCCCTTTTTTCCTTTTGGAGAAGGGTTCCCGTTTAAAGTCAACCAACAAAAAAGGATGCCCTTTTAGCCGTTCTGGTCCAAAACCATTAGGGCTCAGGGATCGGGCTCCCAGGGCCTGGCGACACTCCCCGGTGCGTCAGGCGTCCACCAAGTCACGGTCTCCTCCGTGGCGCCCCGCCTTCTTTTGTGCGCGGCCCCCCTGGCTTGCTCTGCTGTGTGGCGGTGGTCTCTGGTGTGCTGGGGCTTTGCCTGTTGCTGGCTGTGGCCATGTTGTCCCGGGACCCGGCTGTGCTGAGGGCCCTGTCTGCTCTTTCTTCCACCACCCTGGCCACACTTGATGCCCTGATGTCTGAGGTGGTGTTCTTTCAGGATCCCGATCCTGAGGCCTGGCGTGGCCGTGCGGACCTTCACTTCAGGGTTGATGCTGGGATCTCCCCTACGGAGTGGCTCTGCTCTGCCTTTTCTCCTGGCCTTCCGCCTGACCTGCATGCCACGCCCCGGACGCGCCGGCTCATGTTTGAGATGCTTCTGAGAGCCCCGGTGCAGTTCACCGCCCTCCTCAACCGGCCTGGCGGTCACTTCAGGGTGAAAGGGGCGTCCTTGGTGGCTGGCACCATGCCTCGTGTGGCCCTGGTGGACCTTGATTCACAGGTCTGGATTGTCCCTGACCCGGACGCTGTCACCCACCTGTTTGCGGGGTCCTTCCATGGATGGGGTCAGGTGGCTGAGGCCATTAGGCAGTTGGTGGGACTGGACATCCAGCAGGAGCTCATGGTGGATTTCTCGCCACAGGTCGTTGCCTCGCTGTCTGTTGCGCTGGATGTGCCCTGTGTGCTCCCGGTCAATCTGACCAGTTGGGATCCCACATCAACCCAGGCTGTGATCCTTGCGGATGTGGCTGACCGTGGTCTTCTGCATTGTGTCCCATGGGTGGGCGCTCACGTGGCCACGGCTTCTCCGCCTTGCCCACCTTGGTCCCGGGCTGGTGAACAGGATGGGCTTGGGGACCCCCATGGCATGTCCTTCGTGGCCGCCCTGGCTTGGGCTCGGGCTGCTGCCCCTCTGGCTCTCCTCATGGAGTGTGTTGATGGGTTGCCGGATCACCCGCACTTCCCTATCATCCTTGCCGTTGTCCAGTGGGCTGGCTACCGGGTCCATCACTCACTGGTGCATGACCATGCCACCTTTGGGCCATGTGCCAGACGCCGTTGGCTTGCCACTCTGCTGCGGTATGATGTTGAGGTGTCGGTGCCTGTTCCTACGGCCACCTTTGGTGACCCTGTGCCTGTGCCGTGGACCCACCAGGACTTCCAGGTGCAGGAGGCACCCGAGATGGATTTTGCCCGCTTGCTTGATGACCAGGTTCTCCGGCACTATACCAACCCTGCCTTCCTACCTGGCGCTGAGCCCCATCAGCACTCTGCACAGGAGGTCCTCCAGAGGCGGCTGGCCCCTACTGATCAGCCACTGCGCACACTTTGTGCTCGGTACTCGCAGCAGCATGTCCTGGCAGCTGCTACCCTGGCTGACAGAGGCCTCTTTGCCCAGCTCACCCTGGTTGATGGCCGCCCGGCCTTTTTCTCTCCTGCCCAGTGGGCACTGTGGCTTGGGGCTGTCCGACCCCTTGTCTTTCCTCCCACTTTGGAGGAGGTGTTCCATGGGTTGGGTAACTGTATCTCAGTACCACAGGCAGCCATTCCGTGGACTGTCTTCCTGAGTGCAGTGGGTCTCATTACTGAGGTACCTGAGCACCTCGTTCTGCGTGTGTGGCGCCATCGGCTTCGGGGTGTTGCCCTACGTCCTGCAGTTGTGCGTGGATGGTACTTTCTTGGAGCTCTGGATCAGCTCATCGACTTTGCCTTCCACCCTCAGGCCCCTGTGCGGGCCGATGCGGAGGGACCGCCAATTGTTGTTGGTGAAGAGACCTTTCCCAGGATGGTCTTTCCCTACCGCATGGGTGCTGCTCGATCCACGCTCCACTCGCCCTCTGGTTTGAGTGTCGAGGTGACGTACCCTGTTGGGGCTGCTGTCTCTTTGGTCCTTCTGGCAGCTCGCCTTCCGCCTGTTGTCTTGCCCCTTCTTGCTGTGTCGACCTTCGCTCGTGTCTGGCTCCCTCGTGAGTCAGCCGGAGACTTGACCGGACATGACTTGGCTGTCGTCCCTGCTCAGGAGCCAGGCCAACTTGCTCCCCAGCCCCCTCCCCCCGTCCTGGTGCCACCGGAGGTGAGGGTCTTTATCCATGACCCCATGCGGAGGGAGCATGTGCTTCATGTCCCCAGAGCTGCTACCCTTCGGCAGCTCATCTGGGCCCTGCCGCTCCCTGACCGTCTCCTGATGCATGTGCGACCGTATGTCCAGGGACGCCCGGTGAGTGATATCACTACGGCTGAGAACCTTGCGGGTCAGCATGTCTTGCTGCGCCTCTTCCCTCTCCCTGGTGGTGGCTTTGGCTCGAGTGAGACTGCCGTCTCCCTGGCTTCGGATGATGATGAGATGGTCCCGGTTGATCCCTTAACCATGCATGACCCGTGGGCTCCCCCCCCGGGCCTCGTCCCCACTGCCAAGTCTGCACCAGCTGGCCCCAGGAAGGGGCATGCCAAGTGGGATCAGCTCCTACTCCCGGAGGACCATGCCTTCACCTTGGCAGATCTTGGGGTTGCGCCTGTCTTGGTTCCGCGTGGGCAGCTTGGCCCCCTTGTGTCCGGCCTGGCATTCTGCCCTGTCAGCTTGCTTGCGGAGAGCCTCAAGGCCCCGGTCACTGCTCCCACAGCCCTCATTGTGCCGGGGACCTCCCGGGCTTCCTTGCCTGCGCTTCCTTCTGCTGTTGGTGTTGAGGGTCCCTTGCAGATCAGTGTCCTGGACCCTGTTGCAGCTCTCACGTACAAGCGGCAAGTCGTGCTTGTCCATCTTGCTCCGGGCATTACCTACCGCCCTTCTGTTGAGGCTGCAACGGTCATTGACACCGTTGACTTTGTTGAGCTTGTGGTAGAGAGCTTTGAAGCCCTAGCAACTGACTTTGCGGGCATCTTGGCCAAGCCTACTGCGGACCTGCGGGCCCTCTTGGAGGCTCCTCATCAGTCGTCGGTCGTCCAGTCTGTCTATGCCCTCCGTGTGCTCCATGGCTCCGTCCACAACTTGGGTCGCGTGGTGCAGTTTACGGTCAAGCTCCCGTTGACCCACAGGCTCGCATTCCTGCGTCTGTCGGGCACTGGGCCCTTCTTCGTGCGTGATTTCTTGGCCCAAGGAGCTGACCCGCAGGACCATTCGGTGGTGCACCGTTTCTGGCCTCTCAGTGTGGAGGGCCTCAGGGCGGCCTTGGCTGTCTCCCGGGCCCTGGAGGGGTTTGCTGGTCTTGCCCCACTGAAGCGGGGTGTCACAGTCCGTGTCCTGCACTCTCACATCGCGGATGCTCGAAGAGCCTTGTTGCAGGAGGACCCTCGCTTTGTTGAGGCCAATCGGTCCCTTGTCCCCCGGGTCACTTTCCTTGCGGAAGGCTTGCCGTTTGGGGCCACGCCTGGTGCAATTGTTGAGGCTGTTCTCAAAGCTGTGGGTGCACCCTGCATCCCCTTGAGGTCTTTCCGGCGCAATGGCATTCTGGTTTGGGTCTTGGCCTTTGCTCAGGCCCCTGCTCTCATGGATTTCACCCTCCTGTCTGCTGGGCGCCCGTGTGAGGTCATCCTGGCCCCTGAGCCTCCTCCTCAGGCTCGCAAGGCCAGGCCTAAGGGGGGGCGGACTCCACAGTCCCTGCCCAGCGCTGAGACCCCGGG